TGCCACACTTGCAGAGAAGAATGAAGAGTTTACAGGCTCCAGGTGAGAAACTTGGTCTTTGCTGATCCCTGGATGCCCAGGGAGAGAGCTGAGAGCTCAGTAAAACTTTGGGTCCCCATCCCTTTCATTTAAATCAACCCCTGAGTTTTCCATGAACTGGAGGAATAATTACATGCCAATGCCAGGCAGACATTTCTTCTCTCAAAGGGAATTTTAGGGGCATTTTAACAGGGGCTTCAGGAATTTGTGTGTGGCTCCTGCTTCAGATCTGATACCCTAGTGACCTAGCTGTTTGGAATCTTAGCCCAATGGAGGAGACAGTTTTGACCAGAATATCTTTCATGAGCACCCCAAAAAGACAGTGAATGATGGCCCATTTTCTCTGTTTGTCCATGAGAATAGAGTGCCCCTAAGAAAAAAATGGGGCTTCCCAGGTAGCTCAGTGGTAAAGGGTCTGCCTGCCAATGCAGGAGGCATGGATGCGATCCGTGAGTCGGGAAGATCCCTGGAGAAGGAAATGGCAACCCACAACAGTATTCTTGCCTGGGAAATCCCACGGACAGAGGAACCTGGTGGGCTACAGTTCATGGGGTTGCAAAAGAGTCAGACATGACTGAGTGAGTAAACAAGGGCGCATAAGGCCCACTCTGCCCTCCTGCCCTCTTTCTCCTCCTTCCCGATGCCACCACACCCTTATAGAGGAGTCATCACCCATGGTCAACTGAACACCATCTCCTGGGAAATAAAATCTGAAAAGTTAAGAAGGGAAAAATAGAAGGATATGATTATTTTAATCCTATTCCAGATGCTCAAGTACCCTCCTCAAACAAAACCCAAATTAAATGAGACCAATGAGACCACTGTCCTCATTAGATGAGAAAGTGGATTTTAAAACCCCCTGCTCTGTTCCTGGCACCTAATGGGCCCTTTATCACTGTCAGGTTAACTATTTTTACCCCACCATTCATGTTTGCCCACCAACCCCACAAAGTCCAGACCCCAAAAGGCTGTGTGCTGAGGCTCTGAACTGGCTGCAAAGGTCCCCCCTCCTCCAGGACCTTCTCCAGCCCAGTTGTAACGTCCCAGTCTCACTACCGTTGCGCATGGACCAGCCATGTCCATCTTTCTTTCTGAGGCTCTGGGACGTTGTAGAAACTTCCAACTGCTTGATTTGACAAATGACTTTCTGAGTGGAAAGGGGTTTTACATTTAATACATATCATAAGAGACATCAGAGCTATGCTCAGGAGATCAAATAGTTTCTTCAGCTAAGAATGTAAGAATGATTCCCATTAATATCTTTCCAACAAAAGCCCTGAGCTCCCCACCCCCGTTCCTCTATGATCTCAGTTTATTAATGTGGCCGCCCCCTCCCCCGGTTAAGCTGCCCTCACCGCAGACTCTCATTCCAGTCTGCTGTACACCCTCCATAGAACACACCTCTTTGGCAAGCATTTAATGTTTAAAAAAAGAAGAAAAGAGTCCTTCATCATCTTCAATCGTAAAATCAAACGACTGAACACCATCTCCTGGGAAATAAAATCTGAAAAGTTAAGAAGGGGGAAAAGAGAGGGCTATGATTATTTTAATCCTTTTCCAGATGCTCAAGTAGGATCCCCAAACAAAACCCAAATTAAACGTGAGCCTTATTCAAAGGGATGATAAGCATGCAAGTGTCTAAGACAAGGTTTGGCAAATAGTAGGTGCTTGGTTAATGTTTATCTAAAAATAAATAGGAACGTCCATACACACAGCCCCGTGGACTGCACTCTGTCACGCCCCAGCCTGAACAGACGAGATGGGTGACTGTTACTACAGTCCCCACCCAGACCAGGGTGCCATGATTTTTGAAAGCACCTTCATGCTTCCTAGCTGCTCTGATTAATGCACCATTTCAAAGCTTTCACCTGGTCTCCAGAGGAGGGGGGCCTCTTCCAGGTCCCTGAAAGACAGGATTAATGCAGACGCCACACACTGACACACACCAACACTGGGAAAATCTGATTCTCCCAAGAATTTGGAAGCATCTCAAGATTTGGGGATCTCTGTCAGCAACACAGAAATTGCTGAGATCAGAGCACTGATTCCTTATCAAAACTAGACTGGATAAAAACCAGTCCAACAACAAAATGGGCCAGAAGGATACTGACACTGTAGGAGGGACATCTTGGCCCCTTTGGTCAAAAAGGCCAGTACACCAGTCAGAAAAGTTCTCTTTTTACTTAACCACTGAAATCAATGCCCAGGTCCTGTCATTCCCTGGGCCTCAGTTTATTACATTTATAAAATGGGAACAAAGAGATTGGCTCCATCTCCTGGCTGGCATTCTTGGGAGAATAAAATTACACAGGGTAAGGGAAGAATTTTCAAGAATGGAAACTTCTATGTACAAATCGGCAGCCACCAGTGAAAGGCTGATGATATGGGTACCAAAGAGAGCTGAAGAGGGAGTTCCTTGCCAGCATGGTACCAGGTGACAGGAGTGAGGATGCTTAGATCATCACAGGTTGTGTTCTTTGTTAGAGGGCTCTGTTGTGTCATCCAGGTTCAGGTCTTTGGGTGTCCTGGGTGTGAATCCCAGAACTGTCATCCTCCAGCTAAGTAACCTCATCATCTCACCTGGTCCCTTTCGCCTCCTTCCATACAGAGCAGACTAATATCTTTTCCCTTGTAGAAAACAGCTCGGATGTTCTGTAGGGATGCAGAGGGAACATGGAGGAGCAGAGACCAGCATGCAGAAGTGCTGCCCAGATGTGAGCCCAACCTGCAAGCTTGTCCTTCAAAGAAACCATTTGACTCTCAGAGACCCTCAGATGAGAGGAAGAGCTTCCTTAGAATTGCTTGTGTAAATTTGTCTCAAGTTCTGCCTCATTGCTCTGGGTTTCCTCCCACCAGCCTCTCTGTGGCACTTCCACGAGCCTTGGAGGGTCGCATGCTGAGAAGCAAATGGCCCTTCACCTTACACTCCGTCTCCTGCTGGTGGAGGCGGTGCCCAGAGGGGAGGGAGGCAGTCTGATGGGGTCACTGGGGGCAGCTCTAAACTAATGACTTCAGCATCTCCCAGAAGCCCCCAGGCAGTGCCCTGAGCAGAAGGGAGCTTCCCAGGTGGCGCAGTGGTAAAGAATCCACCTGCCAATGCAGGAGATGCACCAGACTTGGGTTCGATCCCTGGGTCAGGAGGATGCCCTGGAGTAGGAAATGGCAACCCACTCCAGTATTCTTACCTGGAAAGTCCTAGGGACAGAAGAGCCTGGCGGGCTACAATCCATGGGGTCGCGAGTCAGACATGACTGAGCCACTGAGCACGCAGCAGAAGGCGGAAGCAGGTGGAATCCTCTCGCCTGGCTTTCCCATATGCGTTTCACCACCCTCCCCCAGCAAGGCCGGGTCTGCACAAGCGGCGCTGCCCCAGCTCGCCCCGGGCCCAGGTCCTCATGTCCAAGCCTCCTTAGCCTCAGAGCTCTGGGACCCAGTGAGATGCAGAGAGCATCCCTCCTAGGTTCTGATCTGGGTCCCTGAGCCCCCTAAATGTGCTGACAGGCAATAATGGGGATGCTAAAGATTGTGTAACTATTTTTCAAAGCTGTTCATAACACATACAAGGGCCCCATGTGAGACTAGACAGGTTAATTGTGTCTCTGTCTCTTTTGGATAGAATTGTATCCATTCAATGTGATCACTCTGGTTAACTCATGCTGATAAAAGTTTTAATCAATAGTATACTATTTTTAAATGTAACAATGACTACTTAATGAATGCTGTTTGTAGCATTGACTCTTATTTTTTCTAAACAGGAAATCCATGGGGGGTAAAAAAAATAATGAAAAGCCTCCTTAGTGGCAAAGGAACAGAAACCACCAACCTGCCCCATTTCACAGATGAGGATATAAAAACGCAGGAGTCAGATCTCTCCCAAACCTGAGCAGCTTCTCTGGGGTAGATGCAAGATTACAAATTACAGCCCCAGGAGGTTTGCTTTCAGTGCTGTTTGAACAAGATGCTCTGCCCTCTGGGCCCCGTGCCCTTCAGACAGCCTTGATAATTACCAGTTGACACCAAACAAGGAAAGTATCTTGTTGGCCAAGTGACGGACACATGTCAACAGAAACTTCTAAAACTGTATTGACCATTAGGTAAGATACATGTGGATATTTAATTTCTAATTAAAATTGCAATTAAACTTCAGTTTTTTCATTCATATTCATCACATGTCAAGTGATAAGTAGTCACGTGTGGCCATTGGCTACCATATTGAACCATGTAGATATAAACCATTTATTGAGTTGGCCAAAAAGTTCTTATGGGTTTTCCATAATATCTTATGGGGAAATTCAAACGAACTTTTTGGCCAACCCAATGTATCATTATAGGAAGTTTTACTGGGCAGCACTGGTCTAGGAGTGACTCTGACAGAGAAGAGTCCAGAAACCTGTGGCTGGGCAGGGCTTCGAGCTGCTTCGCACATCAGGTCTGTGGGTCATCAAGAGACTGGAGACTTTGCGAGAGAAACAGCATAAGGGACCACCTCCCTCCTAGACTGGTCCTGGGTTTCTATGACCAGAACCGCTCTTGAGATGCAACCACCCTGAATATTTACAGGCCACTTTGTCACAGGCGAGGGAGCACTAAAGTGGGTGTCCAATAGGGGGGTTTCAACCCCAGGGCTGCCTTTTGCCAGCCGTGTGTGTCTTCAGCAAATAACTCCTCTTCTCTAGTCCTCAACCCCCCACCAGGGAAAGGACTCTGTCTTCTGAAGTCTGAAAATTCCATGCTGCCCCATCCTCCATTTGTTCATCAATCTTGGGACTGTGTCTCATCTTTCTTGGGTGTGTGTCCTGGAAAACATCAGGATAGATATTAACGTAGAGAAAAACGTCTGTGGAGATGCTAGGAGATTAGAGGGACTTTAGGCTACTGTTTTCCAGGAGAGAATCCAGTAGAGGGCGCTGTTGCCTAGAGGCGATTTTCTGACAGGTTTTGCCTCAAGTGTCATAATGGGTGCCCAAGCTCGCCAGGCAGGAAATGTGTCTTTTTCGTCCTTGCGGGACCCCAGATGTCTCCAGACACCCAGACTCAGTGAGTCACCTCCAGAAGACCCAGGAAAGCCCCTCGTGCCCTTTCTGTGCCTTTAGCCCTGATGAATTTTCCCTTTTCCAAAATATAAAATCGAAGCTATTTTCTCAGGTGCCTTTTTCTTAGCTGCTGTCAAAAGTTGGAACCTGGCAAGATCAACGACTTTTTGCCAGCTCAGAATTCACTCCTGTTCCAGGTGGGTTTCCCCCCAGCTCTGCCCTCCTGCTCTTTTCTCTGAGCAAACTTGCAGAGTCCACCACGGTTGTATGAGACCCTGGGTGTATGCCTCTTTCCATACAGAGCACTTTTAAGAAAATAAGAGTGCATCCCTCTCCCCCCATTCACTTTTTCCTAATTGCCTCATTTTCCTTCCCACATTGACCGTGGGACTCAGTCCCTCTCCCTAGATGAACGTTGATTGGCAGCCTTGATCCACAATCTCTCACCATCTTCTGAGAGTAAGACTCACGCAGCCTCAGCACCACAACTAAGAGACAAAAGGTTCATTGGAATTTCCAGCTCCTCAGATTTCTCCCTTCAGTTCTTCAGAGGTAAAGATGAGCACAAAAGATGTCAAGAAGGCTGTGCATGCCCACGGCGAGGGTTTTGGGAGACAGAAGGGCACACAGCCTTTGCAACTTCACCATGAGACTTCTACAGAAGGGCTCTTTTCCTGTAAATGGCCCATTTAAGGCTTAAGGTTCAAGAGGGTCCCTGGATTCAGCCTCACTAGCATTACTGGGCCCCAGACTTTCCAGGGCTGGGAGGAAAGGGTGGAGGGACGCAGAGGATGGTGACAGTCTGGCCCTTCTGTTGAAAGCAGAGGCACCTGTCCTGGTGAGCTGAAGCTGGGTATGCAGCCCGGTTGCTCTCTTAAAGTGATGGATGAGAACGTGTGCTGTAGGTGTAGGGAGATTTCATTCCCTGAGACTGGTTTCCAAGCTGAATAGATAAAGGAGCAAGAAATGGGGGAAATTCTCAAGCAGAATAATTCTCATCCATATTTGATGATCTATCTGAGTGAGAACTCTCCAAATATTTCCTAAAGCTCTGATCTGTCTGGATAAGGCAGTCATAGTATAGACAGGTAAATGCCCTGTGTTCATTAGGAGAGCCTGTGTGTCTAAAAGGAAGAAAGAGTCAGGCTTTGGGGCTGGATGTTGGTTCAAATCCCAGCCTCATGAGCTTATGCTTGGATAACTGCTCAAATTTTTTTATTTGTTTGTTTTATTTTGAGCCATGCTGGGTCTTTGTTGCTGTATTCGGGCTTTCTCTAGCTGCGGCAAGTGGGCTCCTCGTTGAGGTGGCTTCTCTGGCCACGGACGGGCTCTAGAGGGTGCGGACTTCAGTAGTTGTGGCGTGTGGGATCTTCCTTGACCAGGGATCTCACTGGCAAATGGATCCTTCACCACTGGACCACCAGGGAAGCTCCTTGGATAACTTCAGACAAGCCATTTAGACCCTGTGAGTCTTCATTTTCTCAATTTTTATAGATTATTGCCAGTAATCAATGAAACAGTCTGTGTGAAGGCACTCACCTCTGGGCCTGGCATGTAGTGAGCACTCACATGTTAGCTACGGTCTTATTTGGCAAATAAAATAACACCACAATGCCCTTCTAAGTTAAGCAGAGACGAATGAGAAAATTATCTCTTTCTGAAAGCTACACGAATGTCTTCAGGGTTAACAATCATGTGATTTAAGACTGACCCCCAGAGAAAGTCACAGGGGCATTTGATACCAGCTCCCTAAAATTTGCTGCTTTCCCTGGTGGCTCAGATAGTAAAGCATCTGCCTGTAATGCGGGAGACCCCGGGTTCAATCCCTGGGTCGGGAAGATCTCCTGGAGAAGGAAATGGCAAACCCACTCCAGTATTCTTGCCTGGAAAATCCCATGGACAGAGGAGCCTGGTAGGCTACAGTCCATGCGATCACGAAGAGTCGGACACGTCAGAGTGACTTCTCTTTCACTTTCACTTTCTCTAAAATTTGCTTTCTCTTCTCTCCGATAGCATCTGTGAGTCTGGAGTTCTGTCACTGAAGTCATATGGTCAGTATAAATGGTGAGGAGTCACCAAAAAACCATATATTTCTCAGATCCAGTGAAACCCTGTGAAAAGACCATGCCCTGACCCCTAAATTAAAATCAGAAACAGAGAGATTGAGTCCATCATCATTCCAGCCCTGACTATAATAAAATGACCCTATGGACTATTTTGGGCTTCCCCGGTGGCTCAGCAATAAAGAATCTGCCTGCAATGCAGGAGCCGTGGGAGATATGGGTTTGATCCCTGAGTTGGGAGGATCCCCCGGAGGAGGCCGTGGCAACCCACTCCAGTATCCTTGCCTAGAGAATTCCAGAACAGAGGAGCCTGGTGTGCAGAATCTGACATGCCTAAAGTGACTGAGCATGCATGCATGGAATATTTTGTACCCCACTTAAAGCATCATAGTAGTGTGTGTGGGGTGTGTGTGGGGTATGTGTGGGGCATGTGCCAACAGCCCCCAGGGTGGGAAAGCCCTGCCTTGATTGTGTTAAACAGCATGGGTGTGGTTCCCATTCTTGTTCCTCAGTCAAGGTCGAGTCGATGTTCTTGAAGCAACTCAGTGGAAGTGCAATTCCTGAGGTTCTAACCCCAGCTCGAGTCTAAATCCTGCATGTGAGAGTTACATTATCATGAGATAAAAACCTTGAGCTTGCACAAATAGTTAAAAGGGAAGGAAGAAAGAGCGTGGTTTCCAAGTTTGAAGACCTCAAGATTTTCTAAAAAAAATTAGCTATGACACACGTGCCAAGTGATCAATAACATGTTGCCACTCACAACTGAAAAGTGGGCTGGTTTATTCATTCATCTCACAAACTTTTATTGAGCACAGTGGCATGCCCTGTGCCAGACCCTGGAGAGTCAAGAGTGAACTGGGCACAAACTCAGTCTTCAAAGCTGTCACAAGGGTGCATGAGAAACTGACCATGCCTGGTGGCAAGTGCCAGGCACTGTGGAGCCCACAAGAGGGGGAGACTGTTAGTTGTATGTAACTCTGCCTTGAGCCAGGAGATCAAGGTCCTGAGATGGGAGAGCCAGCATGCACAGAAGTCCTCCTGGCAGTGTGGAGGAGGAGAGTTTGAGGCCAGAAAACTCCACAGGGATGAGATGCTAAAGCTCTGAGATAGGAGCCTATGATGGTCATGGCAACCTGTATGAGGGTGCATGTCCATGTGCTCAGTCACTCCACTCGTGTCTGTCTCTTTGCAACCTCATGAACTATAGCCCACCAGGTTCCTCTGTCCATGGGATTTCCCAGTTAAGAATTCTGGAGAGGGTTGCCATGCCCTCCCTCCAGGGAATCTTCCCCACCAGTGATTGAACCAAGTCTCCTGCATCTCCTGCATTGCAGATGGATCCTTTGCCACTGAACCATGGCGGAAGCCCAGATGGGGGTGGAGGAGCCTAAGTCTTTAGCCCACATTCCTCCCACGGTTTCTCTGAATGATAGTTGCACTCAGATTGGAAATACACAGAGTCATGGCACAATTAGCACTGAACTTAAAAGAACACAATATATGTGCTTATTCGGGAAGCAGGAGAGATTTGCAGGTACCCTTGGAAATGGACAACCCTAACCCTCAAGCACTGAGTGACTGCCACGTGTGAGGTTTCAAAGCTCTCTAATGAAGCATGCGTGTCTCAGAGATCTTTGATAATAATATCTGACCTCCCTCCTCGAAGATCAGGAAACATTTTTTCACTTGGCCCCTTGTCACATTGTAAGTCAATTGACTATTACTCAGCTTGCATTGTGAGGCGAACGTGTAAACCGCTACACTACAGAAACAGCTTCAGCATGCATCATGAATAAAGCTTAATATTATTCATTTAATATAACTTAAAAAAAAAACCTCATTGAGTGTTAGAATGAATGAAATGCCCCAGACCCTACACTTAAGCCCTCTCTCTAAGTCAGCAGCTCCGAGTGTGAACGCTGAGTGTGAGCTGGTTGATCTAGTTTATGTACAGACCCAAAGCCAGCTCGGCCCCACACTTAGGTAGGATTTCAGAGGCGCCAAGAAACCTACTCTTGGTGGCAGAATTCCAATAAGTTATTCATATTTTGAGTGAAGGTAGTGAGAGTTTGGGGCTTTGTTTGTTTGTTTTTCCTTTTTTTTTTTTTTTTTAAGCAATGGAAACCTTCCTCCACATGAAATCCTGCAGAGTGCCCCATGTAAAATCATAATAGCAGATTCTTCAATAGTATTTATTATGTGCCAGATTTTTAACTCGTTTAGTCCAACGGCAACTCCGTAAGACAGATACAGTGTACTGATAATGTTCAGTTTTCCCCAAATGACAAAACTGAGGTTAAATGACCTGCCCAACATTATGCAGCTGGTCTGTAGTAGAGCTGGGGTTCAAATCGGGGTGGTCTGACTCCAGAGCCCACCCGTTACAGACCCCCACTGGGTGGCCCCAAAGTAGAAGGCAAATACTATCAGAGCCCATGTGGTGGATTTCCAGGGTTTCCAGGCTCCATGGGGTGATCCTCGGGTACATTCATGGAAGGATTCCATGAAACACAACTCTTAAAATCATTGGATTGAGGTGTTATCTACCAAGGGTCACTTTAAGCTCACACCTCCTTGGAAGAAGTGAGGTATTAGTGCATTATAATGAATCGGTTTTTGAAACCTGGTTCTAAGTCCAGGGAGATCCCAGCCTCAGGACAGGCATCTGGCGAGGACAGAGCTGGGTTGAGGGGGAGCCGGATCCAGAGTCTGGGTAGTAGCAGGGGCTCCTGGTGGAGAAATGAATTCTCCAAGACTACACGCTCCCTGCCTGGCAGGCGGGCCAGAGATCAGGCCAAGAACGAGGTGCCTGTGAGGGCCTTTGGAAAGGGCCTTAGGGTGGGCAGTCTTCTGGTTGCTGAGTACAAAATAGGGGGTACCTCCTGGCCGAAGCATAGCGTGACTAGAGTTGTGGGGAGTGGGTGAGAAGAACTGTCTGACGTGAGTGTCAGGACTCCCCGTAAGGTGACACTCAAGAGTTTTCAGTTTCTATCTTGATAAAGAATTTTGCAATTTTCAAAATTGCAGAACAAATAGCAGCATGACTCATACTTCACAATTTGCTTGGCAAATTTACTGTACTATCACAATTCTGACCATCACGTGTTCTTCAGTGGGGGTGGGATGTCAAAACAGAGTATTTGGCAGAAGAGGTATGCGATCATGGAGGGACACCCATAAACTCCCCTCACGTCTCATGTTCAAGATCAGAGCCAGAGATTTATGTGGGTTAGGGGACTCAGTGGACCTAGGGATACAAGTCTCAACATAGCTACCGTGTGTATGTTTGGTCTGTTTTTTAATCATCTGTGAGCCACATTTCATCCTCTGTAACTTCACCAGAGGAATTACTTGGGACTCATGATTAAAAGGATTAAAAATTGGGATGGATTTGAAATTTGAATGTTTAAATGATAAGAGTTTGAGTAGACATTTTCAAGATAATCTAATTTAAGAGGTGATGATATGCACAATTAAATCTTGACACTTTAGAGGCACAATTAAAATACCAAGTGAAACTGAAAAACTGGAGTTCTGCCCTTTGGTTTTTAACTGAGGAACCAAGTCAGAAAGTCTATGGTCTCTTGTGGAAAATATAGACATGGGAGACCATGGGAAGAAGTAGACAAGTTTTGTCGCCATTAGATGACACCTAGCATCTTGTCAGCAATAGAAGAGATAATCGCTGATTTGTTGAATGAATGAATGATAAATACATATATGCAAACACTCATATATGCAGTCTGTACAAGTTGAAGCTCCAATACTTTGGCCACCTGATGAGAACAGCTGACTTATTGGAAAAGACACTGATGCTGGGAAAGAATGAAGGCAGAAGGAAAAGAGGGTGAGAGAGGATGAGATGATTGGATGGCATCACTGATTCAACGGACATGACCTTGGACAAACTCTGGGAGATGGTGAGGGACAGGGAAGCCTGGTGTGCTGCATTTCATGGGGACTCATGCAGAGAGTCAGACATGACTTAGTGACTGAAAAAACAGCAGCACAAGTTGAAATACAATCTCACTGTACTTTGGGACCATTTTCCTCTAAGATTTTGCTGGTATTTGTTCCTTTTAAAATGAGTTATTTATCTCAGAAACAAGTTTATACAGAAAGAGAAACTACTTCCTATCTTGAGTTTGCTCACCGCCTTTCACTCAGATCTCATTGACATTGTCCATATTTTCAATTCTCAGAGCACCAGTGGGCTGTTCAGGCCCAAGGTAAAGGTCATGGTCTCCAATATCTCACACCATCACTTTTTTTCACTCTCTCTCTCGGGGGCCTTTGTGGAATAGAAACTACTCTAGTAACTAAGAGACTAGTTCTCATTAGATGATTCATTCAGATAGTCTGAAACTAGCATCTGGTGAATTGCCCACCTCTACAGACATTGGGACAGATCCTTAAGCATTATTTCATTTAATCCTCGCAAGTGTAGTTTTGCCCATTTTAGGAGGTGAGGAATTGTGGGCGGAGAGATTTATCCCAGCCACCAAGATAGGAAGAGGCAGAATTAGGGTTCTAAGTCAGGCTGAGTCCAGCGCCCCTGATAGTTACATCAAGGGCTAACAGCGTTAGTTCCAGTGGAGGAGGATGGGAACGAACACCCTAACAGGGGCTAGAGCCAAATGAGAGAGCCTTTAGGCCAGCGGGTGGAGCTGATATTTGGGGAGATCTTCCTGTTGCACCTCAGTTCTCACTGTGTAGCAAGTTGACCAGTCGGATGCTACAGGGGCCTCCCCACCCACCAGGAGCCCAGTCTGGTCCCCAGTCTGGGCCTCCTTCGGTGCTCAGCCCGAGGGAGCAACCTGATGGGGTCACTGTCTCATACAAGGCCCTTTAGCACTACTTGTTGCACTCAGAATAAAGATCCCAATCCTCACCTGCCAGAAGGTCCCCCCGACCAGCCCCACCTACCTCTTCCAGCTCATCCCCTCTTTCTGCCTGAACTCTCTGCTCTCCAGGCCCCAGGCATTCACTTCTTCCTTCCTGCCACAGGGCCTTTGCAAGGGCATCCCCCTCCTTCACAGCCCCATCCCACCTTGCTTTCTACCAGGCCACCTTCTTCCCATTTTTCCTGTCTTAG